AAGGAGGCTGGGGCGTCCCAAAAGAAAGGAGGGAAAGGTGGAAAATGGGGGCCGTTTTATTGGGGCCGACATGACCAACTCGATTTCGACGGGCTGGTTTCGTTCGAGTACGCCTATGACCCAGAGAGGAATCCGATCGATGAGAATGGCATCAGGAGGTACCTCGTCGCGGATGTGTTCGCCACGCCATGCACCAAGTGCACTGCTATGAAGAAGCCTTGCTTTTTTGCCAGTGGGGAGCTGACGCCTTTGGGAAGGAGCGCCATTGATGAACAAGATCTGAACAAGGCCTGCGCTCCTTGCAAGGAGTCTCGGCATAAATGCCCGGGCCATTCACGACTGAGGCAGTGGACCATCATCGACAATCCATTTTACAAGGATGGTCTGCTCTACAAGGAGGCCAAAAAGTCTACACCCAAACCCGCCGTGCCCAAGGCCACGGCGCCCAAAAAAGCCACACCCAAACTTGTGGCGCCCAAAGCCGCGGCGCCTACACCAGCGCCCAAACAAGTGGCGCCCAAACGAGAAGCACCTGTGGTGGTCAAGGTTGCAGGGCCGTCAAAGCCCCAGGTAAAAGGTATTGTGCCAAACTCCCCATGCCCAATGCTCTCTGAAATGTCTTTGTTAGATTCCACTCTGAACGCCAAGCCAAAGGCCCAGCCCTCGATTGCATTGCCCTCAGACTCTGCGCCCACTGAGATTGGTAAATCTCTTCAAATGAAGTCCAACCATCCAACTGACCAATTCAATTGCCCAGCTCGTACGGAGGACCACATCATCACACTTGAAAAACAGTGCAGGAGACTTGCAGCACAGGTGGAGGAGACAAGGGAGAAGCTTGACGGTGTCATCAAAGAGTGGAAGGAAGACATGGCTGAACTGCTCCTCAAGCTGAAGAAGATGGAGCAATTGGTTACCTCAACCAAGGATTGGACGACACAAAAGGTGATCTTCGCGATGGAAAGCCTTTTCCTCCTTGGAAATGGCATCCATGCGGCACTCCTAGAGTTGGTGACGAAAATGACGGATCTTCCAGAGGAGATGGGCACACTGGTATTGGTGGAAAGCGACGACTCAGTGACAAAGGTGAAGGAGTTGTTGGAGCGCGCCAAACCCAAGTGGGAGGAGATGATCCAAGTCCTCGAAGCTCGACTGCCCTGTGCCCAGGATTTTCAAAGGGGTCAGTCGACGTCGCCCCCCACTGATGCAGGTCCACGTTCGCCCGGCGCAGCAGATGTAATTCACACAGCGCCCACTGTCACTGATGCAGCTCCACATTCGCCTGGCACAGCATATGGGACTGACATGGCACCCACCATTGCTCCATCAACTCCAGCGCCTGCTTCGAATGCACCCTCGCGGCTACACTTGCCCATCGCAGCGAAACAGCAATCAGTGGTGGCCACTGCCACTGCTGGAGTTGCACCTGCTGCCCCTTCAAGTCCCACAGCGCCCAACACCGAAGGAGTAGAACTCACGCCGGTTGAGGTTGGCCCAGGTTCTCCACTTACTGCCATTGGATCTCGCCCCACTTCCCCGCTAAGTGGAGATGAACGAAACATGTCTACTGGGCGCAAAAGGAAGGCTGATGAAGAGGTCGACGCGGACATCACCAGGAAGAAACTGGCCAGCAATCGGAAGAAGGGCCCACTGAGTGCACCTCAGCGCAGACAACCTACGCATGGTAAGGCTCCCGATAGCGTCAATCCGGCGACAGCAGGCCAGTCGAGCAAACTGGACACCATCATTGAGGAGGACTTGTAAATAAAATTTGCATGGCCATACATATCTTGAAATACCCTACAGTAGCTAGGGTATAATAATTTTTTGATGCAGTTATTCTTTGGCACGCATATGCTTTGGCGCTCTTTCAGTTCAACTGACATATTTTGGGGTGCTGGCAAATTGAGGTTACTTGGGGTGCAAACAAATTGAGGTTCCTACGTGTTGGCGCTCTTACATGAC